GGGTAGTGGTGCGACAGCCAGGGTGATGACCCCAATTGTCATGGAAGCGGAGGACGGTTTCCGTCTTGGGCAGGAAGTCAGAGAGTGCCCGCGGAGGCAGAATGGAGCCCGTGGGGACATTCCAGACGGGGAAACTTTTCCCACTGGCATAACACTGGGTGGCCCCTAACATCTCCAACCTTCTCAAAGCTGCAGACGTTGCTCGCTTTTGTGAGACCACGCAGACCCCTCACTGAGCCCAGCTGCAGCACTGTTTCGTAGCAACGAATTCCCTCAACGTATCCCCTGGATGAATTCCCAAAGGAGGGGTGGGAGCGGGGACGGGCAAGAGCTTCCTGTGAGCTACACTGATTTCATTAATTTCATTCTCAGTACTTGTATCATCCACTAGAACAAGTAAATCAAGTTATAAGGATGGCTGTCTCGATTCAAGCTGTAAGGAAAAAAAGAAGCAAGTGTTCCACGTTACAAATAGAAACAAAGGGGAAAGAATGACGCTTTAGAAGAGGTTGATGATTTTAACACCTCCAGGTCTATACTCATTTACTCAGTACAGCAAACCCTACTTGGTAAAGTAAGACAAAAGAATGTCCTGTTAAAGAAGCACACAAAACATTTGCATTTGAATGAGTACAATCCCCAAACCTCAATGCTGAAAAGCAGCAGCTGGGGTGCAGTGGAAGGAACTTCTGGACCAGGAGCTGAGAGAACTGGGCTCCAGGCCGGCTCTGCCATTCAGCAGCTGCCTGACTGTGCCCAGCTCAGCCGGCCTGAGCTTGGGTTTCCTCTTCGGTAAATGAAATGCTCGACTAAAGGATCTCTACAATCCCGTCGAGTGGCAATCTCTCTTACTGTTGTCTGCAGTAGACACAAATGAATGGCAAATCCTGACCACCTCTGCCCTCCCCACCCAGCTCACAGCCAGGTGAGTCTGGTGGTCCAGGAAGTGGCAATGTACGATGGTTTATGTATCTATATTTCCCCCAGTACTTCTCTTAAATAATTGATAGCAGCTGGAAAATGCTTTCAAACTTAGAAGTCACTGGGCAGAGATGAGAGGTTGACCCTTAGACTGATTTTTATTTAAAGACCACCACAATCTGCAAACCTTCTATACTTTCCTTGCTGTGTGTGGCAAACTTTTTTTGCAGAAGCTGAAGTGTCAAACAACGTTTTGTACGTGGTCCTGCCCTGTCTAAGGTAAGGGTGACCTGCCTATAACTTCTCTCCATTACAGACACTCCAGGCTCCTTTAGGAATGGCTATCAGTACTCTTCCTTGACAGATAATGTGCATTTCTTTATGGCATTTTGATAATTATTTCCTTAAGCCATTAGTTAAAGATATTATTGATATTTTGCTTTTCAAGTGCAGAAGTGCTGTGCCTATAAGTATTAATAGCTATGATTTGATGAGAACCTACCACGTGCAAGTTTCCAGGATGGAAACTTTATATACAATATTATTTAACTGTCAAAATACCCCTTTGAGTGGAGATATTCCTATCTCCAGTTAACAGATCAGGAAAAGCTAAAATCACGTAAGTATCTCGCCCAGTGTCAAACTGATGGTGGGGCAGAAATCTGACCCCAGGCCACTCCAGCTGCGGTTTCCCACTCATCCCCTCCCCCATCCCTTCTGGATGCCAGGCTCACAGCTTTCAATCCCATGGTTTTTATTCCCCAATTCTTATAAATTCTTTATATTAAGAAGTATCTGCTAGCATCATTTGCGTTCATCCCAATATATTCCCTATAATTTTAGCATAATCAACTTAGAGCCTTATTTATAGTGAAGAGGTCATGCTTCATACAAGAGGGCTTGAGTGGACCTGCGGCAAATCCTCAAGAGACCTAAGGATTCAGCACTGCTGCCTCCCAGTGGCTGTGAACCTTGAGTGACTACCGAGCTTTAGAGACCTGCGATTATAGTGATTTTGGGTAGAATGAAGATGTAGAGGAAGGAAAAGATAGGAAAGGTTCTAAGGAAATATATACTATGAGGCTTGATGACTGGGTATGGAAAGTGGTGGTAAGTGAGAGAGGTTGGAAAGTAGATGATGTTTATCACAATATTGAAATGAAATTACAAAGGGTTTGGTGGGGGACAGAGGGACTTGGAGGCCAGTGAGAAGACCAGTGGGTTGAATGTGGAGTTTCACTAATGTTTAGGAGGTGATCACAGCAAGAAAACAATCAGTAAATAGTCCGAGAAGGAACAGGAAGAGAGTAGAATAGAAATGGGGAAAGATGATGTGGAAGAGAATTTTAAGGACTAGCCAGCCAAGGGTGTAAAATGTCAGTTTATGATTGTATTAAGCTAATTGTTAGTTTAAGAAAATTGCTTTAAAATTACTGCAGCAGATTACTTGACTTCTAGAAATACACAGCGAAATAACTTGTGTAATTTCTCCATTATGTGTCATTCTTTAGTCCCTAAGAGCCCTGAAAACAGATATTACACTGGTAGAGGAAAATGACCCCAGAAATGGGTCACGGTAGAGCCTGCAAAAGATTTGTTTTGCCTACTTTATAGATTTTTATCAACATTATGAAAGTAAATCTTATTAATTTTATGAGTCAATAATATCTACCCCAAGGATTGATATTTATGAAATAAGTAAAACTAGAATGCTGACTTAAACCCCAGGGAACTTTGTTATAATGAGAAATCCTCAAGACCTGAATTTAATCAAGAACTTGAGGATTTTACATTGTGCTATTAGTCATACTCCTCAGGATTTAGCTCATCATATACTCTTCCTTCATTTAATAATTTTTTTCTAACTTTGCTGATTTAGAAGCATTCCAGAAACTGATCACGACGCAATAAGCATTACCAACAATGACCCTACTGTAGTGGAAATGACCTCATTATCACTCTTGTTGCCAAAAGCAATCCAGGGCAGATGTGGTCTTGGTTTGAGATGAAGAAAACAGTCTTAGGATGAAACAGAGACACTGGGAAGATGTCTTCCCCCAAATCCCGATCTGTTCCTCTTACAAAAATGATCATGAAACTTTGGTTCCATTACCAATGAATGCACCGCTGATTTAAGAGACAGTGCACGTCAAGCTGACGATTAGAATTCAATAAATGAGGAATGGGCAGCATGACACGAGCTTGGCTGTGTATTTAAGAGCAATAGCTGGAGTCACAGCAGTGACTGCCCTGCACCTGTGGCTTCTGCTCCCAGTTACAGCACTGCCGTAAATTCAGACATCTCCCTAGCAGGCCTCTGTCACTACCGAGACATAACTTCAAGTAAATATGGCCTTTCCTTCTAACTTTCAGTTCCTTTTTCAGTCATTTACTTCATCATTACTCATGCTATTATTATTTTATTCCTTCAACAAATTATTTTTTGTTTACCTTTCTATGTGCCCTTCCATGTACTGTTCTAGTGGCAAACAAGACAGACAGCATCCCTGGCTCTATGGGGAGACAGAGCCGATGGGCCCCGCTGCTCAGGCCCTCCCCACTTCTGGTGGCTGAGCAGAGAGCTTGGGAAGGAGACCTGAGCCAGTTTAACAGAAGGATGGGCTAATTACTAGTTTCCATGACCTGGAGCATCCTCCTTTCCATCAAAGCCACTTCCCCAGCCAGGGAACTTACGTGATCTCAAGGATGTTCTCTGACCCTGTCCCTCATCCACAAAGTACTCACCACAAATGTATGGAACATTGCAGGGGACTGTCCTTCTTCATTGGTACCTTGGCCATGGGACATATCTATACCCGGCCTAAGCTCTGACAAGTAACAAGAGTCAAGGAGATTCTATCTGCTTCTACTACTTCTTTGAAGGTTTTTCTCAATAAACTCTATATCTGAACTGGATGGTGCTGCAACAAATAAATAGATAGAGATACAATTTCCGATAGTGATAAGTGCTGTGAAGGAAGCAGAACAGTGCAATTGGATCGAGAGGGACTGAGGCTGGGTCAGGACCAACCTAGGCAGGACAGTCAGGAAGGGCTTCTTGGAAGAGATGGTAACAGAGTCAAAGCGGGAGTGATAAAGGGCAGGCAGCCCAGCAGAGAAAGAACATTCAAACACAGGGAACAGCAAGAACAGTGGCTTGGATGAAAGGATGAGATTGAAATGTCTGTGGGACAGAAAGAAATCGAGCACCACAGTGAATGAGGGAAAGAGTATTAGGGGTGACTTCAGAGAAGTAATCAGGGGACCGGTAAGGAGATGAGGTTTTGTTCTAACTGGAATAAGAAGTTATGGGAAAAAAGAAAAAAAAAAGAAGCTATGGGAGAAGTTAAAGTGAAGGATTAATAAAAATTGATAAGCATATTTAATAGTTTAACTCTTGGATCTGGAGGAGAATGGCATGCAGGTGACATGGAGGGAAGCAGGGAACCAGTTAGGAGGCTACCACCGTGGTCCAGGGGAGTGGGGAAAGGTAGAGGGGCAAAGACTGCTTAGTCTAATTACGGGACCTGCAGTGAGTGTTGGTGGGATGGGAGAGGTGGGAACAAGGCGAATCACAGATGATTCCAGAGTAGAGAGGGGCTGTAGCCCTTTTAAAAGCTGGCGCACACGATCACTCAAAATTCTGTAAAATTAACCACCAAGAAGAAAGTAGGAGGCCACAGGAAATAAAGATGAACAAAGACTGGAGGGTGCAGGGTGACAGGAAGCTGGAGACAGGCAGTGGTTCTGAAACATTCCCGGGAAGTGCTAACTCCTGCAGTTCCTTACAGGCAGCTGTCATCTGAGGGCTTCTTTTAGGGGGTCCCGCAAGCTAGCACTCACTGCAAAAATGTGGCAGATTATTCTTCAAACCTGCATTTTAAAAAGGGGATGAGAAGATAGACTAAGCTTGTGAGAAGCTTTTTTCTTTTCTCACGGCCCTTTACAAAAAAAAGTTCAGGACCAGAGTCTCAAGCTGACTGCGGGGTTGGCCACCAGACTTTACCTCAGAAATTGAGAATTAGTCACAAGATTCCATGTAAGCCACAAAAGAGAAGTGGGAAGCAGACAGCACTCACCGAACTGCGATGTGCCAGGCCCCGTACCCATTATCCGTTAATCCTCAAAAAGAACCCGTGAGAAAGACGTGCTTTCCTTCAGGATCTGCAAGAACAAACTGAAGCTCAGGGAGGTTTATGAACAGCTCAAGGTGTCCCCGACAGTGGCAGGGATGAGCAGCAGGGATGAGCCCCGGGCTCCGCCTCCTGGGCCAGGTGTGGGGCTGCTACAGGTGAGGGCACCTCCCCTCACACCATCACCGTGCCCGCCGTGAACTCTGGCCTCTGCTTTCACTATCATGAGGTTCACCCCTGGGACTGGGGTCTGCCCTCAGGGGAAGAGTCATAAAAATGGGAAATTTACCAAGTGACCTCTCTCCTTCTATCCACCCCCCCTGCAGAATCTGCCTGCTTTTCCTCTCTCTCCTACGTCTTCATGTAGTGTTTAAAATATATTATGTCGAGATTACAGTTATCTTCAGGAGAGTTCCTCGACACTCTATTACTGAGAAATAATGTTTTAAACAAAAAAATTCTGAATCAAATAAATGGTTTCTAGAAATGTATTCATTTTCTTTTCACCCTTTACTCTGATAGAATGAATGCTTTTTGGTGCTCACTAATCATCTCATTTCAGTCTCTTTTTGTAGAAGATCTAGTTGGTTCCTACGCTAAACCCGGTGCCCATAGAGTAATAACCACACAATTCCACTGGCGTTTTCCACTTTGCATTTTGGTATCTTATTTATGTTTCTGTACTGCCCTCTAGTGGCTGACTGTCTGAAATACAAATCAAAGTACAGCAGGCCCTTTGTATCCATGGGGTCTGCGTCCGGGGATTCGACCAACTACGATACAAAATGTTCAAAAAAACAAATTCCAGAAAGTTCCAAAGAGCAAAACTTGAGTTTTCTGCAAGCTGGCAACTATTTACAAAGCATGTATATTATACTTATAAACAACTATTTACATAACGATAGCATTTACATGGTGTTAGGTACTATAGGTAATCCAGAGATGATTTAAAGTATAGGGGAGTTTGTGTGTAGGTTATATGCAATACTCTGCCATTTTATATAAGGAACGTGAGCATCCCTAGATTTTGGATTTTGGTATCCACAGGGATCCTGGACCCAATCCCCTCAGATACCGAGGGATGACTGTATTAATTTTCGAAATGCAGGCACTTTTTCTAGAGGTAAGACAAATCTCAGACAGTTCAATTGGCTAGTAACAACTTGTAGGAGACATAAATCTTCCTAACAACAATCTTATTGATTGTGAACTATTTCAATTTTGACTTTGACAACAATAGAAAAATTTTTAATGCTTAGAAGAACTTTAAAAGTTCTGGAGATATTTAAAGAATCTGTTGGCATAGTTGGAATGTAGACAATAATTAAGTATATTGGAAAAGACTCCTGAAAGCCCCTGGAGAAGAAAGTGCTGGGCCTAGAACCTGATTTGAGAGGAGGCCGGGGGAGTATATGCTTTCTTGGAGTAACATCGCCATCTTGCGTCTTTCTTAGATACTGCTGATAAAAATAAGCAAACCCTTATTTCTTTTAGCACTCCTAAATGTTCTCTAATTAAAGAAATTTGAACATTTGTTTCAAGGTTCAAACAGAAGTTTTATTTATTTATTTAAAGAAGAGTTTTTAAAAAGACTGTATTGAGGTATGATTTACACTCAATAAAATGCACCCTTTAAAGTGCACCAGTTTTCAATGAATTTCAAAAATGAACTCCCAGGCAGCCACCAGAACAATCAAGTTGCATAACATTTCTATCATCTCCCAGAGGTACCCTAGTGCCTATTTACAGATAACCCCATGCCCAGCTGTTGCCCCGGGCAACCACTCATCTGCTCTCTATCATTAGAGATCAGTTTTGATGTTTAGAATTTCATATAAACGAAATCATACAGTATGTACTCTTTTGTGCCTGTATTTAAGTATGTGCTTTTTTTCTTCATCATAACATTGTTAAAATCTGTTCATGCTTTTGCATCTATCAGTAGCTCATTCATTTTTGCTCCTGAGTACTATTCCTTTGCGTGACTACTCCTCTATTTACCATTCTCCTGTTGATGGCCACAGCTTGTTTCCAGTTTTTAATTATTTTGAGTAAGACTGCTCCGAAAGTATGTGTATAATAAGTGTGTACAAATGTTCTCATTTCTCTTGGTAAATACTTAGAAGTACATGGCTGGGTTTCAGGGTAAATAGATGTTTAACTTTACATGAAACGAAGTATTTTCTAGAATGGCCTTACCATTTTATTTTCCCAGAGCAATCAATGAGAGTTCCAGCTGAGTCATATCCTTCATAGTTGGTGTTGTCATTCATATTATCCATTATGATGGATATATAGTAGTAGCTCATGATGATTTTAATTTGCATTTTCCTGTTCACTAATACTGTTAAGCATTTTTTCATATGCTTATTGGTCATTCATATATATTATTTTGTCAAATGTTTGATTAATTTGCTTTCCTCTTTATAAAGTTGGGTTGTCTTCTAATTATTGAGTTATAAATTTCTTTGTATATGCTCTGCATGTCTTTTGCCAAATACATGCATTGTTAGTATATTTTCTGAGTCTGTGACTTGCCTTTTTGTATTCTTAAGTGTCCTTTGAAGAGCAAACATTTAAAATTTTGATGAAGTCTAATTCATCAATAATTTTTATAGGTATAGCTTTTTGTTACCTATCTAAAATTTTTGCCTATACTGAGATCACAAAAATTTTCCCCTATGTTTTTTTCTAGAAACCTTATAGTTTTAATATTTGTATTTTGGCCTATGATCCTTTTCATGTTAATTTTTGTATATGATAAGAGGGAAGTACTGAGGTTTCTTTTTTCCTAGATAGATACCTAAATGCACCAGCATCTTTTCTTAAAAAGACCATCTGTTCCCCTTGGCCCCTTTCTTGAACATCAACTGACCATATTTGTATGGGCATATTTCTGGACCCCTCATTTTATTCCTTTTATCTGTTTATCAAAACTTAGACTTGTCCTGATTACTCTCATTCTATACGTCTTGAGATCCTCCAAATGTGTCCTTGTTTTAAAATTATTTTGGCTACAGTATGTCCTCTGCATTTCCTTATATTGGGTTGGCTGAAAAGTTTGTTTGCCCTTAGTTGTCTTTAACTTCATTTGAAACAATTTTGTTAGATTGTATTGTGATAGCTGTCATATAAGCGTGCATTTAAAAAAAAACATCAAAATTGGTGAATTTTTGTGTAGCCATTTTAATATCGAATATGGAAAAAAAAGCAGCATTATCTGCATATTATGCTTTATTTATTTCAAGAAAGATAAGAACACAACTGAAATGCAAAAAAAAAAAAAAAAAGATTTGTGCCACGTATGGAGAATGTGCTGTGACTGACTGAACGTGTCAAAAGTGGTTTGCGAAGTTTTGTGCTGGAGATTTCTCGCTGGACAGTGCTCCACGGTCGGGTAGACCAGTTGAAGTTGATAGTGATCAAACAGAGACTTTAATTGAGATCAATCAACGTTATACCACACGGGAGATAGTCGACATATTCAAATTATCCAAACCAAGCGTTGGAAATCATTCGCACCAGCTTGGTCATGTTCATCACTTTGATGTTTGGGTTCCACGTAAGTTAAGCGAAAAAAAATCTGCTTGACCGTATTTCCGCATGTTATTCTCTACTTCAACGTAATAAAAACGTTCCATTTTAAAAACAAATTGTGACAGGCGATGAAAAGTGGATACTGTGCAATAACGTGGAACGGAAGAGATCGTGGGGGAAATGAAATGAACCACCACCAACCACACCAAAGGCCAGTCTTCATCCAAAGAAGGTGATGTTGTGTACGTGGTGGGATTGGAAGGGAGTCCTCTATTATGAGCTCCTTCCAGAAAACCAAACGATGAATTCCAACAGCTACTGCTCCCAATTAGACCAAGCGAAAGCAGCACTCGACGAAAAGCATCCAGAATTAGTCAACAGAAAACGCATAATCTTCCATCAGAATAACATGAGACTGCAAGTTTCTTTGATGACCAGGCAAAAACTGTTACAGCTTGGCTGGGAAGTTCTGATTCATCCGTAGTATTCATCAGACATTGCACCTTCAGATTTCCATTTATTTCGGTCTTTACAAAATTCTTTTAATGGAAAAACTTTCCATCCCCTGGAAGACTGTAAAAGGCACCTGGAACAGTTCTTTGCTCAAAAAGATAAAAAGTTTTGGAAAGATGGAATTATGAAGTTGCCTGAAAAATGGCAGAAGGTAGTGGGACAAAATGGTGACTACGTGGTTCAATAAAGTTCGTGGTGAAAATGTGTCTTTTATTTTTACTTAAAAACCAAAGGAACTTTTTGGCCAGCCCAATACATTTTAGGATCTGCGTGTCAAGTTCTACAAAATAGCTAGCTGGGATTTTGATTGGGATTGGCATTGCATCTATTAATTTGGGGAGAACTAACATCTTAACAATATTGAGTCTTTCAATCCATGAACACGATATTTTTCTTTACATCTTTAATTTCTCTCACCAATTTTTTTATAGTATTCAGTGAATAGGTTTTGCAAATATTTTGTTAAATTTATCTTTAAATATTTCATGATTTCGATGACAGTATATAAATATAATGGTATTTAAAATTTTTCATTTTCTAATTTTTCAGTATGTAGGAATACAAGTGGTGTTGTATACTGACCTTGCATCCTGTGGCCTTCTTAATTCACTCATTACCTCTAACGTAAGTTCTGGAGATTCCTTAGGAACTTCTACACACAATCATGTCATCTGCAAATAAAACAAATGAACATTTTTGTTTCCAAGACAAAAAATGCCTTTTATTGCTGTCTTGCTTTTTTTGTACTGGCTAGCCTGGCAAGGACTTCTTGTGCAAGGCTGAATAAAAGTGATGGGGATGGAGCCTGATCTTAGGGAATATGGATTCAATCTTTTCTGTTAACTGTGATGTTAGCTGTACATATTATGTAGAAAAATGTCTTTTATCAGTTGCCCTTTATTCCTATTTTGGTGCAAGTTTTTGTAATAATTGCAGACTAAATTGTCAAATGCACCTTTTCTTCTCCTCCTGAAGCAGGAAAACTTATTTTCCCCTTCTTTATTCTGTTAAGGTTGAGTTACATTAATTTTTCATATGTTAAGTCAACCTGGCACTCCCAAGAAAAATTCCATTTGGTCATAATATATTATGCTTATTACACATAGTTAGATTCAGTTTGTTAATAGTTTATTAATGATTTTTGCATCTAGGTTCCTGAGAGATATTGGTGTGCAGGTTTTTTTCTTTGACGTATTTGTCTGGTTTTGGTATAAGAGTGATGTTAGCTTCAAAAATTGAGTTGGAAAGGGTTCCTTCTTTATTTTCTAAAAGAGTTTGTGAATATTATTATTATTTTTTTCTTCTTAAAATGTTTGGTAGGGCTTCCCTGGTGGCGCAGTGGTTAAGAATCCACCTACCGATATAGGGGGGTTCAGGGAGATCCCACATGCCGTGGAGCAACTAAGTCTGTGTGCCAGAACTACTGAGCCTGTGCTCTAGAGCCCATGAGCCCCAACTACTGAAGCCCGTGTGCCTAGAGACCGTGCTCAGCAACAAGAGAAGCCACCGCAATGAGAAGCCCGTGCACCGCAATGAAGAGCAGCTCCCAATCACCACAACTAGAGAAAGCCCGCACGCAGCAACAAAGACCCAATGCAGCCAAAAATAAATGAATAAAATAAATAAAATTTTTTAAAAAGTTAAAAAAAATGTTTGGTAAAATCCACCAGTGAAGACACTTGGGCTGGGAGTTTTCCTTGTAGAAAGATTTTTAATTATGAATTCAGTTTACTATATACATGGCTATTCAGATTTTCTATCAATTTTTATATTACAAAGAATTTGTCCATTGCTTCTAAGTTACCAAATTTAACAGCATAAATTTATTTGTACTATTCTCTTTTTATCCTTTTAATGTCTGTAGGATTGATAGTGATGTCTTCTCTTTCATTCTTGGTATTAGAAATTTGTATTTTTTTCTTTTTTTTATCATCTTAGGTATAGATTTACCAATTTTATTGATTTTCCAAAGAATCCTTTGGTTTCATTGATTTATCTCTATTTTCTACTTAAAAAGGTGGTAAATGTTTTCTGTTCGTGGCCAAATAAATATTTTAGGTTTTTCGGCCATATGATCTCTAAGGCAGCACTAGACAACAAGTAAATGAATGAGTGGAACTATGTTCAAATAAAACTTTATTTACAAAAACAAGTGGTGAGCCAGATTTTGCCTGCGAGCTGTGGTTTGCTGACCCTTGGTTTATTAATTTCAACTCATCTTTATTTTTTCTTCCTTGTACTTTGGAGTTGATATTCTCTCATTTTCTAGCTTTGTAAGGTAGAAATCTTAATCCTTCAGTTCTGAAGGACATTTCCAATGAGTTTAGAATTCTAGGTTCACTCCCCCAACCAGCACCAGTAGTTTAAAGATGTGATCGGTTTTAGATGAAATGCTTGCTCTTGGTCTTTGTTTCTGTGTATTGCTTCCTTTGGCTACTTTTAAGATGATCTTTTTAATCACGATTTTCAAAAATTTGATTATGATAATGATATACTTTGCTGTGTTTTTCTGTTTCTTCAGCTTGGTTATTCGTTTGTTTCTTTGTTTAGCTTATTGGATGTGTGTGTTGGTTTATAATTAATCAAATTTGGAAAATTTTGTGTTCAGTGATGTCACACTGGTACCTTGAAATCAACAATAGTGTATTTACATCATAAAAATTGGCCTATGCTATAAATCGAGTCTTTTTTCCCCCATGGAGCTAGTTGTTAAAATTTACTGCCTACAGGTCACTAAAATTTGGTTCTTTTGAATTTTTTTTCTTTATGTTTTTCTATTATGGTAGTTTCTGTTGCTATGTGTTCACATTTACTGATATTCTTAAGTTTTCACTGGATGCTATCCTTATACTGTAAATTTATTATTTAAGATACTGTATTTTTCAGCTGTAAAGTTCTGTTTGGATCTTGTTATAATACTTTCCATTGATCTTTTCATGATGTTTTTCTTTGAATCCTTGACCATATATATATATTTTTTTGCTGCGTTGTGCCTTTGTTGCTGTGTGCGGGCTTTCTCTAGTTGCAGCGAGTGAGGGCTACTCTTCATTGCAGTGTGCTACCTTCTTATTGCAGTGGCTTCTCTTGTTGCAGAGCATAGGCTCTAGGTGCACGGGTTTCAGTAGTTGCTGCACGTGGGCTCAGTAGTCGTGGCTCAAAGGCTTCAGTAGTTGTGGCATGAGGGCTCAGTAGTTGTGACTCGCGGGCTCAGTAGTTGTGGCTCACTGGCTTAGTTGCTCGCGGCATGTGGGATCTTTCCAGACCAGGGATCAAACCCAAGTCCCCTGCACCAGCAGGTGGAATTCGTAACCACTGCACCACCAGGGAAGTCCCTTGACCATATTTTTAATAATTGTTTCAAAGTAACTCATTGTTAACTCCCTGTTATTGTTGACAGGAACACTGTCAACTCCTGTTTGGCTTCGACTGCTTCTTCCTTCCCTCCCTTCCTCTCTGTGTTTACTCTATGTCTAATTTAGTACTATTACTAAGGTATCACCCTTCTGAGGTTTCTACTAAATGTTCCATATAGTTGACAAAGATTCCCCATTTGGCTGGTCAGAACTTGCATGTTTCCTAGATCTTGTGTCCTCTGGGAATGATTCATCTGAGGGCACCTGGTCATTGTTAGCCCAGCCTGGTGGAGTTTTACCTTATGTTAGCATAGCTTAGTTTTTATCAACAGACTCACAGAGAACTCTGAAGATTTCAACAGCTCTTTCTCCATCTAGCTCCCTCCTCTATGCTGCTGTGCCCCAGAAATTCCAGCATCTCAGACTTCTTGATCCCTAGTAATAATCTCCTGAACTCAAGACCTCTGCAAGGGATCCTCCCCTCAACCCTGAAGCTTTGCTTTAGACAGTGCCCTTCAGGCAGAAGGCTGGAGTGATTTTAAGGCTCAGTGTTTGAAAGCGGTTATTTCATATATTTTGTCCAGTTTCATTTTTTTTAAACAATGGGAGGACATGTCTTTTTCTAGTTTCTCCATCATGGCTGGAAGCTTAAGTTCTTATACATGCTTGACCAAACAAGTAATCTTTCTTCATCTGGTATATTCAACCCCTTTGACAGAGCTCTTAATAGCACTATCAGTCTTAAGTGGTATGCATTATGAATAATAGAAAGGGAGGAGATATTATAATCCACTGAGTCAACACCAACTATAATGGAGGGAGCTGGATGTTGTGGGTAGATAGATGGTCCTCCTGTGCAGTGAATAAATTATGTCCTTCCTTGGTACTTAATCCTTAGGTTGGGTTGAACTAACCTGAGGGCTAAGTATTAAATTTCTCATTTCTTAAAACAGCTAGAAAGTAACAATCTGAGGATTCACTATGGGGTAGTAGAGAAAGAGAAAAAATGCAAAAATAATTCCTTCCTGGGAGTTAGGAAGCTTGGCTCAAAGGCCAAGACTCTGCATTTATAATCCTCCACACTTCCTTCCATTTCTATCTGTAAAAATGGGCAATTGAACTCTTTGTCCTTTAACAATCCTTCTGGCTTGGCGATTTTTACTACTGTTCTGTTTTCTCACCATTATTCCTAGTATTATCCCATGTTAATTGGTGTAATATCATAGGCTAGAACAGTTACCTTCTTAAGGGTTAAATTATTCCTATTGCATCAATTAGTAGAGGGTAGGTGCTAAGAGCAGTGCTAGGAAAGTGAATAGAAGATAAAAACAGGCATATCAAATAGCCTCTTGTAATAGTGTAGAGATCTCTGTATTTCCAGTTAAAGAGAGCTTCTGGGTTAAAAACAATCACAAGATAGCAGGGCCTGATATTTTAATCTCCAATCTTCTTATTAAAATAGCAATGATTGTGAATTAAAGCAGGAGCTCAGAATTCATCTCCTCCAACATCTAACGTAACTAACAATAATTATTAGCACAGCGAAAATTTCAAGAGCAAGAACCAAACAAGGAAAAGCATACAACTTCATGCCATAGACTTCAATAAGTAGTGAAAAAAGAAAAACAAAATATTCTGGCATGGCTTGGCATAGCTTCCTAGCCTTAACCCTAAGCTCCAGAAAGAGAGGGAATGAAATATTGAGAATTTCCACAATTATTTCTTACTTTGGAGAAAGGTAGTTGGAGGGTTGAACAGGAAGCTCAGGTAAAATTCAAAAAGAAATTGTAATAGGGAAGAACAAATCTGACTCCATATTGGATGTATTTCTTTTACTTTAACCTTTGTTATGCATAACAGCCCATCTCTGGGAACCCCACCTCCTATGCCTGAACATTAAGATAAATCCCTTTTTTCAGCTCACAGGAAGCATCCTGACCAGGCCCACCTGTGAATGGCTGCAGGAAAGAAGAAACTGACTCACCCCCTTGGAGTCTGGCGGAAACCAGGAAATATTTGCAACAACTTATCTTTTTAATGTTACCTCCTCACCTCCCACCTCTCTGTTCCATAAAAGAAAACTAGCACCCAAACCTGGGCAAGATGGGTCTTTTGGACACTAGTCCACCATCTTCTCAGTCTGCTGGTCTTCTGAATAAAGTCATTATTTCTTATCCCAACAACTCGTCTCTCAATTTATTGGCCTGTCATGTGGTGAGGAGTATGAGCTTGGGCTCGGTAACAAAATCTTCAGGAGTAAAAGCATCTACAGCAAGACGCTCTGGAGGGGCAGAAGAGCTCTAAGACCCGTGTGGGTT